TTCGCATGATAATTGAACCGGGATGGCCAACCGGTCATGCCAACTAATATTTGTTTCAGTAAACCTCTAGTTTACTTGTGGCATGTGATTCCATCATCGTGGTTATACTTGTGCAGTACAAATAGAAGAAAAGTCGGGTAATCTTTTATATTTATCCGGTATGATTATAGTAATTTGGAGATATTCAATCTTTCTTTCATTTATAGTCTCAATATGCCAACCATTTTGGCTTGTATATTTGAAACTCAAAAAGTTTCTTTTGAGACTTACTACAATATTGATGTTATGAATAATTTTACCCATCCGGGTTGTAACAAATTAGCTCTTCCGGAGTTCTTAATTGATTTTGTACTATAAGATCTTTTGTCACACCATCGATATGTTGAATGACTCATTCACGGATAAAATTATATCATAATGATTGACATGGTTAAAATCATCATAAGCAAAATTATTTCTTGCTTTAATTTTGCCTTTAATAACCTTTTATAATACATGGCAAAATATTTTCGGCATACCACATGTACGCGACCAATAACATATTCATGTAACTACACAGTAATATTCGTTATCTTTCCTTCTCTCAAACCTCCTGTATAGGTGAGTTGTAGTATTGATTCAATCATGCATAAATACATTCTTATGCATAATTTGNATATATATATATATATATATTCACATTCACTTTCAGGAATGGGTATGCATTTACAATGCTTATCACAAGTCACATTTTTAAAGAATGGACCATAATCATCTTAACGTGCCTCATATTTACAGATCATATTGATACACATTTTCTTCACTTTTGAAGGATTATCGTGAGAACCCTTATTGTTCTCCTTATTATAATTACCATAATGATGACTATTATTATTTTCATCTTTGGCACACCCACATTCATTCGTCAATCACTTGTCTTCATTTAGACTTATTATGCACCACTACCACATTCACTTCAAGAATGGAGCAAATCAATTGGGACACGCTTCATGCCTTTTCATGAAAAATATATTATTTTTCTTTAGTTATCATTATATCATCAATATGGTACATTGAGACTCAAACCCAATGCCTTACCAATATAAAGGCATGTTAGGCCATAATGAATTGGGACTCAAACCCAACTCTTATTATTATGGAGCATCAGGACTTGATCCTGATGTCTTACCCTCATGGTGCATTGCGACTTGAACTCATTGAAGTTGATATCATTAATAGCAAAGGACAAAAATAATTTCAAATACGAAAGAAATGCTTACCTCTTGAGTTAAACTCTTCATAATGTCATTTGAATATAATTCTCAACAATAGACTTTCGTTTACTCAAATCAGCTAATTAATTAGTGTCACACAAATATATGAAAAGTATAAAATAATATTGAAAATTCACATGTGGTCTTTGTTGCAATAAACTTACTTCAAGATGAAAGTGATATGACCAGAACATTAAAGAAAAATGATGTATCAAATAGAATAATATAATACTACTAGTTACCATGCACTTTTGTGAAAACTAAGTATTATGCTCTCTAGAAAAACAAAGAGATATAGCAGAACCTTTAGGTTAATTAGGGAATTTAAAAAAAAATAAAAATAGGGGACAAATCTCTGTCTACTATCTACAACTATATGTTTTTCATATAAAAATGATTCAACATGTTAATTTGATAAGAACTATCATCAATGAAAAATTTGGTGTAGTATATACTTCTTGTACTAATATTTTATCTTATAAAAATAAAATAGTTATGAGTATTATTATTATTATTATTATTATTATTATTATTATTATTATATTTGACAGTAAACTAATGTATAATCATTATACTAGGCATACTAAAATCGTATTATAAGGTAAAGCTATAAGCATACATAATAAAGTATAATTTTAATTTTGTAGATTATTTAGTATATCGCATGCCACCTATTATTTAGTTCATGAAAATTTAGTAAGGTGACATCCATAGCAGCCACATAAATACTAAATTTTCTAATAACCAGAGCATTGCTTATTCCAAATATTGGTATAAACTTATCTGGTTTAAAGCTCGAACTTATTGTTGTAGCAGAAAGACGTGTGCCTGTAACACGGAAGTGGAATTCAACCTTGAGGTTAGAGACTTCGTGCTGATAACGTGTTATGAAATATAGCTTAAAGTAATAATATAGAACAAGGAAAAACAAGCTAAGAGATATAGAGAGAAAGAGGGGAGAGATTCTTATTTCTTCTTTAATTATGTTATCTTTCCATCTATTACAAGGTCTTTGTATAGGCATGAAAAGTGAAGAAATATGTCATTGAATATGTCATTAAGCATTTGAGATCATGGGGAGGTTATGAAGTTACAATCATAACCCCATAAGTATTATAGTAGTGAAAGTTATCGAGATAATGGAGAAAAGTAGTTAGTATTACTCCTTTGGGGGTTATGGACATCCACCATAATTCAAGATTTTATAACAAATTCATCTATTTTTATCGAATTTTAGTTACATGTTATATACTTATGTAAAATAGTACAGAAGAGTACTAGATCCAAATCTTGAATAATCAAATTAAAGAGAAACTAATAAGACAAAATTTTGGGTATTTCAAACGTATAACTATTACAGTGTCGATGCTTCTGTATAACAATCTCTATTTACTTTTTGTTATCGTATATACTATTGACCTATTTGATTCAACTTGAAAAGGTAAAAGATAAGCTCAACAAGATAAGACAAATGATTTGATTCGACATTTTTTAAGAATTAATTATGTTATTTAAATTAATATGTGACTGAAATATTAAATTTTAAAGTTTTATTCATTTTAGTCGATATACAATGGATAATTAAATTATAGGAATAGTAATTAAGTTTAATTATATGTCTTACAATAATATACTGTCTCCCTATTACATGTAACAAACATATTTTTGTCTAGTTTTTAAACTTCTTTATCAAAATTAGGTCATGAAATTAAAAACTACTTACCAGGTAAACATAAAGTTATAGGTAAAAAATGACTCAATTTGAAATTAGTTGACCACCCTTCTCCCTCCCCCAACAATGTACATCTCGCATTTATGAGCCACTACAGTTGATTGGAATTTTATAATTTAAAATTTTATTCATTTTAGTGCATTTATTTAGATGTGTACGGCAATTGCTAATACGAATTTTCTATACAGGTAAGTTTCACTCTGTTTAGATAGTAATATTGACATTTATAAATTCTTATTTTATTGTTTAAATTGTTTAATCGTGAGCTGATTGGTTCCTTCCAAGCGATTTCTTCAACAGACAGCTTAAGCATCCTCCCATACACCTCAACCAAATGATAACGGCATCTAAAGTTAAGAATGTTTGGAGATCAAGAAAGTAGAAAAAACCCATCCTTAGCCGTTTCTTCCATAACTAACTACAAAATAAAACATATTCTAATATATTTATTTTTTATTTTTAATTGGATATCCACCTTTTGCTTATAACTCATTTGTTTCTCTTTCTGATTTGAATTTTGTACAGATCCATCTTACTCTACTCATGGATTAATACGAGAACGTATTCACCAATGGATGAGTAATGTTACGGGCCAAGCCCTGCCCTTGACACGTATTGTTTGTTTTAGTCCATTAACTCTCACAGATTTGTCTCCGCACATATTATCCGCTTTGGCCTAACAGACTTCACGGATTTGTCTCTTGGACTACGCCACCATTGGTTCCAAAAGCGCGCGTACCATAAGAATTTGTTTTGTAGCTTATAAAGTTATTTACTTTTCTCTCTCATTCCGACGTGAGATTCGCCTAATGTGATAAGTACATCCCTTTTTCAGAAGCTTGTCCCATCATCGTACTGAGGGAGATTCAGCATGTATTTTTCACTTTGGCCCAACAGATCTCATGAATTTGTCCCTTGGCTATGCAAAAGCGTGTGTAGCATATGAACTTGTGTTGTGCCTTATAAAACTCTTTACTTTTCTTTTCTTTTTCAACGTGGGATTAATCTAAGGTGATATGTACACCCTTTCTTCGAAAACTTGCCAACTTAAAAGCCTGTCAGTCCTGTTTGATTCGCTCTCATTGGCCCACCCTCCATCATGGGCGTCACAAATAACATGGCTTTCAAAAATAAAATAAAAAAATTATTTTCTTTCTCACTCTCGAACACTTGAGAGTTTGTGATGATAAGTCCTATGGGAACATAACATATATTCTTAATTTGTTGATGAGTCAAGCTCTAATATATGCTCCGCTGCTTAAATATAAGGCCCTTTAGTAGCATTCTTAGCTTACTAGTGAATTTTTTTCTTATATTTTTATGAGGGAAAATATTCAAATTTACCATTAAACATGCGAAAGGATCTAAAGCACTCCTGTAATAGTTGAGTCAAACATACCTATTTTGTTACCAAATCAGCTCAAACTGTCAAATATATCCTTATTCAGAGACATCGAACTATTAGAGATTACATTCGATTAATATTATATGTATTTTATTGTGTTTGTGCACCTTTTGAAAATATACTTATTAGCCTTAATCATAAAAATATTTATCAAAACTAACTTTTATCTCTTCTTAAGTGTATTACTTAATTAATATTCCATTAATTGGAACATGTCTATCTAGAAAAATGTAATAAATGACTTCTATTTTTCAAAGATATCAAATATTTGAAACACATTCAGTTTATTAGAATGACTAATATTTGGGATCTAAGAGAGTAATAATATTTCTGAAAAAAATACCATCCTAGAAAAAAACAATTGAACTGCCATTCCATTTGTATCTGGAACGGATCTCTTACAAAATGAAGCAATACAAAACTTGGATTCGAAGGTAACCGCAGCTGTACTTATTGTCCTGTTTCATTTAACATGACCACGTTATATTATACCAGAGTAAGGAATCGAAATTTCTTTCATTTTTATATACGGTTTTTTCTCTGCTCCAGATTTGAATTACAGAGAAGCCGCGCTTTAACGGCTACTTCATAATAAAATCCAAATTAACACCGACCACAAATCTTTTTCCAGCCTAGCTTTCCCCATTTTGAGATTCTTGCAACAAAAAAAAACACCTTTTTAAACCAATAAAATGCTCCACACAATACCCAAGAAACCCTACAATTAAAGTCCAAACCAAAACATTCCTCAAACTCAGAAAGTCACTTGTTATAGAGTGAACTTTCAGCTCTGCTCTTACATTTTCAGTTTCCAAAAAAAGGGTCAAAAATGCCCAAGAAAAGGTCGCCTATTTTCCAAAAACTTTCCAGTTTATTAAACATGTCAATTTTCATAGCAAAAATGAGGAAACCGATAATTCCAAGGCTAATTTCATTGAAAAGAGCAAGAAAAATGAAGAAATTTAGCCTACTCAAGCATTACAATTATGGGTATGTTCAAGAATACCAATTTTCTCCTTCAAACACACCTTTGCTTCAGTACCATAAGAAAAAGTCACTTAAAAAACAGAAAAGTTACAGAGATTTTTGCTCTGTTTTTTACATTTCGAAATGTTTGGGGTTGATAAATGGCCAAGGAGAAGAAAAAATGAGGTACCCAAAGTTGGAGTTGGAAGGGTTAGCTTCTATGGGAGATGCAGTAGTAGGTAGAGAATTTTCAGAAGGATCAGATTTTATTGAGGGAGATGATTTCATTGATGAGAGAGCTGAGAAGTTTATTGAAAGGTTTTATGAAGAAATGAGATTACAAAGGCAAGAATCTCTCTTGGAGCAGTTCAATGCATTGGTTGATAATTAATGAACCCTGTTATTCGGGACCGGATAAGAATTACTTTTGTCTCTCTCTCTCTCTCATGAATTTCCTAAACCTAAAACCATGTTCATTTTTTTTTTTTTACCGTATTATATTCTTTGCTATTTGATTGCTTTATCTTCGCTGTTACTTGAACCGAACGTCTATCGGAAACCGTCTTTCTAATTCTATAAGGTGGGAGTAAGATTTGCTTACACACTATTTTCCCCGGAACCTATTTATGAGATCAAACTGAGTTTGTTGTTGTTGTTGATGAGGTGGATTTATATTGTAATGTGTTATTCTTTTGATTTATTCTTCTCCACATTGTTTCTTATGGCTGTGGAGATATATCGTTTCTTTTCTTTTTTTGTGCTGGTGCTTAACAGTTTGTTAGTTGGTTTGTTTTAAAATTTGTCAGTTGAAATTGGATAATTTCTTAGGAAAAATACACTACAGTCGTTCTCAATATATATATATATACATTTAAACTACCGAATGTAATCTTTACCCAATTTTACATCAGAATACGTTAAACATTGGGCGGGAATGTACCAAAAAAAGACATTATTTTTCAATAACTAGCTATTTTAGTCATGCTACCCAAAAAAGGCCCAAAAGAATTACCAATGATATACAACATTCAAAAAATATAAGCAAAAAAAGATTTTTCAATGGGTATTATTGTGATTCGTTAAAAACATATAGATAATGCAATATACAAAATTTGACCAAGTTTGAAAGTGAGTTAGACTAGTTTGGAGTTAAAATTCATTATCAGTGATAAACAACAATTAAAAAAAATTAGGCAAAAAAAGATTTTTTTCAATGGGTATGGTTGGAATTCGTTGAAAACATATAGATGAGTCAATATACAAAATTTGAGCAAGATTGGAGGAGATTTGGACTGGTTTGGTATCAAAACTCATAGTTAAAATTGAGTTTTTTTTAATGAATAAAATTTTTTGCGACACATGTATCAAACATCTACATGCACGTATCTCGCACACAGGTATCTATATTATATTAAAAGCACGAAGGTCCTTAGCGAAATGTCGTTCGCTTTTTTTACCTATTAAAAATAGATTTCATACTGGACAAAATCGTCATTTACTTATTTCTCTAATATTTAGAGTTATATATTTAATTATTTTCCTAATATTTAGGATTAAACATTTAATTATTTCCCTAATTTTTATAATTCTTCTAGGTTTAAACGTTTTGGAGTCTTTTTTGGATATAAAATTCTACAGAAATGTTGCCTTTGTGAATAATTTAGTACAAAAACAACTTCTATCAAGTAGTATCAACTAGAAGAAGAAAAAAAATACGATTGTTGAGTCCTCATCAAAGTCTAGCATATAAAGCTATTACATGAGAATTGGTTTTGTCCAACCAAATCATCATATGATCATTTAGTTCTTGATCAGGTTCGTAAATTTCGGATACAATTTTTTTGCAACTTTAGTTTTTCTTTATGAAGTAAAAGTTGATCTTTTTGTCTATGTTAAACTCTTGTGTGTCTTTCATATAGAAACTTTGTGTCTTCAAAGTATTGATACGTCAAGAGGCATTGATTATAAAATCTATTTGTTGGTTGATTCTCTATTTGTTATGGTCTATTAATTCATTAACGTCTATACGTTCTCCAGATTCTTTGAAACACTAGAGTGAAGATAGTATATGTATTTTTTTTTTTCTTCTATTTTTGTATTGATCATAGAATTTTCTAATTCTACTGTCATGTTTATTTTAGGTATAACCTGATAAAAGGTCATGTCAAAAGACACGCTCAATCATTAAATTTCTTTCTTTTCTGTACAGACTAAACTGATAAGAGGATAGTGATAGATTATATAACAATGCTTTAAATGTAGTGAGAAATCAACAATTACAAATATATTTAACCATATATTAAAGTAAGATAAATAAACTGTATCTAAAGATACTTCCATTACCTAATGAATCGAAATTACGAGAAAGAGAGATATTACATTACCTAATGAATTTTAAAATTACAAAGATGAAAAAGAGAGATATATTTCTATATAAATTTTGTAATGATTAATAGGATACTTATCAAGCACTAATTTATATCTATTTTATTATAAAATAAAATTACAATCTGAGTTGAATGTATTGACTAATGATTGAGAACTTCTCTTGTGGCGTTTCTTCTTTTATTAAGTGGTGTATAAAGGCTCAATATTCATCATTTTAAGGAACATGCACTTTTATTTTATAACTCAGGCAAAATATTTTAATATAATATTTATATATATTTTTTAATACCACTTGAGATAATATACACGCGCAACGCGCATATCATAGGACTAGTATATGGTTATATATGCGATACACATTTGATACATATGTAATAAGCAAATGATACACAATGTGAGACACATATGATCTTCGTCCATGTTCATCTTCTGTACTTCAAATTTGGCTCAAATTTCAATTCAAACCACCTAAAATCTCCACCAAATTGTACGATGTACCAAATCTATTCCAAGAACACCCACTCGAAATAAATTCCAATTTCGAAAACCCAAATTTTTGAATTCAAGCTTAAGTAAACTTCAATAGATGTCCACTACGTTTCAGTTTAATCCTTCGACCCAATCCAACAGACTAATATTTAATAGTGATTTCTATATCGAGTTAAGGTGCTTGATTCTCTAAATTTCAACTTAAAGGAATTAGAATATTGCAATATTGTTGAAGTCTCAAAAAGTTTGAACTATCTTTGTGTTTTAGAAAAATAAATGTGTTCACAAAATGACATTTGGGTTGTTTTTGGTAGATATTTTGTTTTGGGCTAGTTTTGGTTGAAATTATTTATGTAGTGACAGTTTGGATAGTTTTCCCTTAAACATTTGGAATTTATTTGGTTTACAGTCCAATTATGTAGAAATTATAATGCTTAAATTGTTTATTCAATGATATTATTGCAGAGATTATTATTTCATAAATAATAATGCATGAATTGTTATGCAATAAAACACAATACATGAATTATAATATACAAATTGTCTAATTTAAGGATATATTTATTTTTAGATACTCTATCTATGTATTGTTAATACACATTCTCATCTCATATTCTATTACATGGAAAATAATACATTTCTGTTATACCAATCAATAAGTGCATTTGATTTCTAGTATTAAACTCTGCATAACTTATGTTTAAACTTCAAATGAAAATAAAGCTAGAATTATATCAGTCAAATCAACTATTCTTCTTATTGAATCTTTTAGCTGTATATGTTGATGGTATTGTGCTTTCCACATGTAATAATGAGGCAGAAATTGTAGAAACTTAGTTCTTTAGTAGAAGGTAACTATGTGGATATTTTATATATTAGGAGCAAACGAGGTGCATTTTATGATTGCACAAGTAAGTGAACAAAATAGTTCTCAACACAATCTGAGGTTCATTTAGTGTTTTGAGGGTAAGTGCATGCCACAATCAATTGCTGAAGTAAATAAATTCAAGACAGATCTCCAGAAAGACAATGACAGATGAAATAGAACTTGCATACGTTTGAGAAAAGGTAAGTTTACAAGAACTGGGGAATCACAACATCCAATTCCATAACATTCAATTTTTTCTGTAAGAATAAGATATACCCACCACTGAAACATTACAATTTCACATGTGACAAAAAAGAAAAGAAAAATAGAATGTGTTCGTTGGCGGAAATTACAATACCTCTGAATTCTATAATCTGTATGGATTGACAACTGAAGATAAGCCTAGTTGAGATTATGGTACAGCACAAGAATAATGCATACAAACACAAATAGAACCTATATTTCAAACCTCACATGCCTCAGAGAGATAAAGCACTTGGCGAAGCACAAGACCAACCAATAAATAGAGCAAAGAATATATGAAGAGACTTCTTCCAGTAGCACAATACATGCACTTGTGGCCTTGACAGCAATTCTATAACTCGAAACTCTGCAGGAAGTACGTAGAGAACATAAATAACCATCCAACATTTCAGTTCTTTTTATCAGATCCTTTGAGGTTAAGGGTGAACCATCTTTTCTTTGATGATTTGTCCTTGGAATCTGAACTGCCATCTTCTCCTGGACTATCCGCTTTATAATCTTCATCAAGGACCTTACTGCTACTTCCGTTACTGAAATGCCCACTCCCACTGCCATTTAAATTAGCAATGGACCTTGCAACTGTGAACGAAGAGTGGATGCTGTCTCTTTGTTTCAGCATCTCATCGACCTTTACAAATAGTAGTACTTAATCAGTATGCAGGAACTATCAGATAATACAAGGAAAAAGTGAAGTAGCATCTAAACAAACAAGAGATGCATTAATTATAGCAAAATCTGAGAAAATCTATTGCTGTAACACTTCCCACGCCACTAAATGAAAGCCAAGCGACTTGTGTTGCAAAGAATTTGGACATACCATCTCAATACGAGGACATTTGCGTAATATAATAATCGGAGAAGGGTCATTTACCCCTGTACTATTGAAAATAAATCATATCTACCCTACGTTTAACTTCCTGAATATTTAAGGGCCTACCGTTATACTTATTTTTGTATTTGCCCCCCATCCGTTAAGTGACCAGTCCCAACTTTAAAAAAGACATGTGGAGTGTCTAGAATCGATTTTGCAGGACCCGGTTCATTTTATAAAAACCCAACCTCAAATAAAACATAACCCGACCGACCGATTCCCCTTAATGCTGTACCTTTTATTTTCTCCTTCCATTTTGACAATTTAGAGAAATTAGTTGGTGACATATCTTTCCTCTCATACTCTACTCCAAATTCCAAACCACCAACCCACATCATACCAAGGTCGATATAACTCTAAGCTTTATCACATCCAACACCAATGGACTGCGAGTATCAATGATGGAAGGAGGTAAGCAAAGAACCCTCAACATTGTCCAAAGGCAAAATAGCCTAAATGGCACTTATACTTGTGCCACTTTGTCATGCCGGTTCCCAAACTTAACAATTTGCCAATTGAACACTTACACTCCTTCAAACCGTGTATAACAAACGCTTATGACAGGAGGCCGATCCTATGTGTCATATTTGGCTTTAGTGCGTGATTCACACGCCTATAAGGAGTGTGAGGGCAGTTGAAAAAGCCCTAACGGTAATAATGTGGCCTATTTAACAGCCATCTTCTTCTTTCTACCTTAGTCTCCATTGTTGAACATTATTAAAGCTGATTTCTATCCAAATCCGATGCCTTCTTCTTTCTCGTGTTATCTTCAACAGTGAAAAATAGAATTTCTTTGCTGGGATTCTTCATTGCCCATCAATTTCTGTCATCTTCCTTTTCTTTTGAAGGTCGATTTTTTTCTTCTCCGGCAAGAAATAAGCTGCTGCAGCGTCTTCTCCTTCAGCAATGAAGAAGGAACCTTTATGTTATTATGGAGTTGCTGCAGATCTTAAAATTTCACGAACAAACCCATTTCACAGATTCATTAAAAGTTGAAAACTTGAAGCTTTAAATTGCATAAAAACCCATTTCACAGATTCATTAAAAGTTGAAAACTTGAAGCTTTAAATTGCATGAAAACCCATTTCACAGATTCATTAAAAGTTGAAAACTTGAAGCTTTAAATTGCATAAAAACCTAGAATTTTGACAATAATACAACAAACCCATCTCAGAGAATCATCAAATTAGTCTGCTTATATGATAAATATGCAGATTTATTAATTACCATAACCAAGTTGGACCGAATTAGTCGAGGCTTTCTTCTTTTTCCTCTTCTTTGAGGTCTGCTTCAATGATCCAGAACATGGAAACCAACCCATTTCTCCCTCTTTAAAGATGAAGAACAAATGAAGAAACTTACCCCACAAACTTCGATAACAACTGCGATGATGGAAATCCCGGCAACGATGACGGAGAAGAGAGGAGAGACAGAAGTGGTTCGATACTTTCTAAGCCCTAAACTAAGTGGGTAAGTGTAAAATAAGGGGAAAATTTGGGTATGGGGGGTTAATAATCATTTCCCGTTTTATTTTCCTATGTGGCGATAATAAATGACCTGGACCCTACGTGGATTAATTTTCTTGACGTGGCGTCCTACGTGTAGGAGATTGTATTACACGCACTGGCAACCTCATGTCATAAGCGTTTATTATACACGGTTTGAAGGAGTGTAAGTATTCAATTGGCAAATTGTTAAGTTTGGGGACCGGCATGACAAAGTGGCACAAGTATAGGCGCCATTTAGGCCATTCTGCATTGTCCAAATTTTAATTTAAGTTTGGTCCAAAGCCAGCCCCAACTGAAAAAGCAGTTCAGATAACTGAAGAAACTGTGTTGGGGATGCGGGAGAGGGGATTTGATGCTTGTATTTCCAGTTTGCTTCATTCACAACATCAGTAACCAATATCAAAGCTAGTTAAAAAAGATGTCAAAGCTAGTTTGAGCTGGTGGTACAAATTTACTTGTTACTTTCAAGCCAGTTAAGAATGCCTTCGCTGACTCAGAAAGCTGCTCTTTCTTTTTGTTTCAGAGTTCCTTCTAGCATGCTAAAATAGTCTGAATATGCGTTTATAGAAATTATCCAATCTCTAAATAGAAGAAAATCTATATCTTGTGTTTAGTTCCTCATTATTATTGGCCTTTATCTCTTCTGACTTCTTCAGATTTTCCAAAAGAAGTCGAATAGGAAATTATTTCAATGGCTGTGTCTAATTCGACAAAAATATCACGAAAATAGGAAGGATAACGTAAAATCCCAAAAAAAATTCTAGGCTTTTTCACTTGTTCCTTTGACTAAGTGGGTAAATTGGTTTCGAAGGGTCGGGCTATGTCTTATTTAGGGTTGGGTTTGTATAAAATGAACTTGATCCTTTAAAATTGATCCTAGGCACTCCATGTCCCTTTTTTAAAGTTAGGACTGGTCACTTAATGGATGAGGGGCAAATATAAACATAAGCATAACGGTAGGCCTTTAAAAATTCAAAAAGTGAAACGGAGGGTAGATATGACTAATTTTCAATAGATCAGGGATAAATATGACCCCTTTCCATATAATAACTAAACCGAGAGACTTTTCAAAAGAAAAACTTACAGACTGCTTCTCTTGGCTGTATCTGTTGGTCACTTCCTGGAAATGTGCCAGTGCCTGTGAACATTAACATGGAAAGTAGTGCAATCAGGATATACGAAAGAATCAATGACCCATGATAAATATTTGTCTAGAAGTAGATTGACAACCTTTCTATATTCTACTTCAAACTGCCGAAGCTCATTTCTTTTCCTCAAAATCTGAGCCTCAATATCCTTGAGCTTAAGAGTAGTATCCTCATATGACTTGGCACAGAGAGCCTCAATTGTATAAGTAGCAGGCTTGAAGAAATTATCTCCTGCAGAGAGATCAGATCAAAATTCAGCCTTAAGGATTTAAGCATCGGAGAATCAATTGGAATTTGATAGTGTTTCTCACAGCAGAAAAAACAATGTATTCAACAAAATAAGTAGCTCCAACCATAAACAGCGAATATGTGAGTGCCAGCTTTAAGTTCTGAGACCTCACAAGGTTGAAGTCCCTCCAGCTTCTTAAAGAAAGCAGCTTCAGGGTCCTTAGCCATCGCTAACTACAATATTTCAGATTTTTTATTAGCTCTGCGACAACACTGCATAATGAATTTGACCAACAGGGTGATATTCACATACCGCATTTACAGTTGAATCCATTCTATACACCTGAAAGTGCAAGAAATACATTCCTGCTGACGTCACCTTACCCGTTTTCTCACTATCTTCCTGCATACCGTGACAATTCATCAGATTTGATCAGTCAATTGCTTAGTTAGAATACACAAGACATGCACAACATGTCCATCTAAAGTACAGTAGACTAGCTCACAAATCACAGAAGTTTGAGGCACGCTTAGACCATAAAATTGAGAAGAATTACTCCAAAGATAACTGTGAAAAACGCAACCCCGATGTGCAGGCAAATTGGAGGTAATTACTGAGCATGTTGAGCTTATATATCTAAAGATAAAGGATTACAGGTCCAGTATCTGCTCTGTATAAGTGAGTTTTACTTAATGTATATAGCAGCCTCACAGCTTATACAGATTGTAGACCATGAAGAGATTCAAAATCAGAAAATTTAAAAAATTATACCTTAGAATGAGGTCTAGTTTTCCAAAGCAGTCAATTGATACCGTCAATTATACACTTCAGTTTACTGAGATCTTAAGAGGATACAGCCTCGTCTATTACAGCTAGCCCCTGACTGTAACTTCCTATGGCCGCATACAAGTCATGAGCCATATGCCTTGAAGCTTAGCTAACGGAAAATTATCAAGTGAAATTCAACCCAATCACCACTTGTAGGAAAATAAAGATACTAAGATGACATCAGGGACACAGTGTGAAAATAGTAACTATTTCCATTTCTATGACACAGTAAAAGCTTTTACAATCAACAAGCAAAAATATTTTTCTGAGAATTAGAATTGACTAACAAATTTTCTACTTCTGAAAAATTTCATAAGCAACATTTTTTGTTAGCATTAGCAAAAGATATGAAAGGTGCATCACAACATGTTAGTTAAAACATTTGATTTGATCAGTAAATGCGGAGATACATTTAAGCATTACGGTTATGTTGATCAAAGAAAGGAGTCTGGAGTTCATATTAAATATATAAATGTCATAAAGGGCATGTATAAAGGAGCAAACCAACAGAGTGAGATCAGTAGTAGGAGATATACAGGAGGATCTGATAACCGTGAATTTACACCAGGGATCAGCATTGAGCCTATACTTGTTTACCCTAGTTATGAATGAGCTAACAAACACAATACAAGATGAAGTCCCATGGTGTATGCTATTTGCTGACGACATTGTGCTAATTGACCAAAACCATCAATGGTTAAAGTTAAAGTAAGAGTTTTAAGATAACTAGAAGTAAAACTGAATATATGAACTGCAAGTGTAGTCAGCATAAGAAGAGTGAAGTTGAGGTGACGCAACGGGATTGTGGTGCCTAAATGCAAAAATTCAGATATTTAGGATCGTTGTTCCAAGAGAATGAATGATAGAGGAAGATGTCACACATTAGCAGCCTGATGAATCTGTAACTACCTACTTCAAATCACTAAGAACTCAGCATCAACGAAAAGTATCTTGAGCTCACAATGGAAACTGATAACTGTAAAATGCAGTACCTGCAAAGCCAGGCCATAACCACCATTTGCATCTTGTTCAAAATAGAGCAGCTGAAATTTCATAAAATTCATTTTTTAATAACTCAACCCATGGCAAGTAGAAAACACAAAAAAACATGAAGATATACACACTGCTTACAAAGTACATGCAAGAATAGCTACCATTAAAATTCTACAGATCTGGAGTGTACCTTAAATTTGCTTTGAGCTGCTGAAGTAACTCTAACTACAAGCCCTGCCTCCGCTTGTTCACTGCTAATCGTTACACCAAAAAAATGGGCACTTTGCTTTTCAACCTGCAGCAAAACCAAGCTAAAAACCTCGATACAGCTGAAATATTGTCCTGCTAATTGAAAAAGAAAATCAAATGCTACCTTTCCGCTAAGTGATGTCCCAATTGGAAGAGGGCGAATTGTGACAGTTCCATTCAAAGCTTCTTCAAGAACATTAGCAGAGACAGTCGTTTTGATGGGAACACCCAACTTGCTATCAGATAGATAAGGAATTCAAAAACCAAGCAAAAATCTACTAGAATGCAAAGTTTGGTGTGATGATTACCTAAACAATGCTGCAAACATTGTGTTGACAGTTCCAAGATTGGACAAATCGATTTCCATATCCGTTCCTTCAGCATCAAGAGCCTTAAAATTTTCAAGATCAAATGTCAAGAGAGTAGGCAAGTGGCACATGCGTGTGAGCATTTATATAGGAACTATAATCAAATAAAAGGTTGCCACGTGTATAAGTCAATTGGGAGTCTGTCTACTAAATAAATAATGCACATCATACCTGACTAAAAAAATAACTAGCACAATTTGGATAGATTGCAAAAAGCATAAGAAAGAAACTATACACATACTACTAGAGAGAGAGAGAGAGAGAGAGAGAGAGAGAGGCAACCACCTTTCAAAATCCATGCATACACACAAAAGAAATTGCAGAAAGAACACCCGCAAAAAAATCCCAGCTACTGCTTAGTTTGAGTCTCTCTGTGACCTTGTAGAATTCTTCCTATAAGTTCTCCTATAGCTGACATATTATCCCCCCCTCTCCCCCCCTCCCCCCCCTCTCCCCCCCTCCCCCCCAACCAAAAAAGGGAAGAGCATATCTTCTGCTCCACAAGTCAAGAGCTCAAACATTAGCTACACATTTTTTCTTGATACAATAACTATACACCAATCCAAATGTAGTTGGGGTTGACTATATGAACCCTTTACATCCATTCCGTTCTGTTTAGAACTATTTCATTCCAATACTCAATTATTTGTCTTCTCAAACTGAGAGTTGTTTAAAACTAAAAGCTCCTTTGAATCTCAAACTTATCTTTACACTGGCATGCAAATCTCAAACAAAATTAAAAACTTCTGACAAACAGCAGAACTAATGTAAATGTCCAACAATGACTAAGCCTTAATTCAACTAGTGGATATTTTCTTCATAAGCATCTTTTGCTTCAATTGTATTTTGTTCTTAGCTACTTCTCATGGATCCCATGAGATTATAGGTTATTTGAGACAATTTGTGTGCATGTGATCTTAGGTCTATCTCGTCCTTTCTAATACATTCAATCATCATAGTGTCTCATCTACAAACCCATAGATTTAGCGATCTACGACATTCAAATATCTCAAAGCTGATCTGGTCCAAAAATAAAGTTCTGACAAATTAAAATATTATATAACCACAAACTTTTAAAAGCTGGTAGCTTTATGAGCCCAGCCAGACCAAGATTCAAGATGGTACCAAACAAAGCCTGACTAAAATTTGCTATTGTCTTCGCCAAGTCCGACCGGACTCTTCTGTTTTTCTTATTTCTTCAGGGACATTAAGGAACTGTCGAGTTTCTAACCTTACCAATAGTGATCACAGTAACTCAAAACATACAAAAATTGACGTTTACTTCAAAAGTCATAACTCTAGTGATAAACCAACTTGCAAGAAAATTATGTACTTGACAGCGGACGGGGGACAAAATACCTCAAAACCTGCCATATCATATTGCCTCCTTTTTTCTGGATCAGATAGAACACTGTATGAGTATGCTACCTCCTTGAATAATTCTGAAGCTTCAGGATTGTTAGCATTCTTGTCCGGATGATACCTGCCAATATAGGTTGTACATGGCTAATGTATAAGAGACTTTTTATGTCCCTAAAATAGTTAATGTATAAGAGACTATTAGATCAAGAAATTTCTGTCTTCATTAAAATGCTTATCATTTTTTTTTAAAAATCGAACAAAAGCTTAGCTAATGCATAGAGGCGATAAATCAATAAACTTCCAACACCTACACCACTAAAACCATTTTTTCCTCTATACCCAACCTAGCATCCCATCACAATTAATTTTTCCATGTAAGAAATTCTAAGTTACAATAAAATAACTTCAATAAACTATTATACAAGTAAGTAGCAATCGTCTATCTCTTACCCAATTACCAAAACACGTCAACCGTCAAACTACTAACTTCAATTCTTGGAATGCTAAATTCAACAAAATTTCATGCTACAACTACATTTTAGTCTCAACATAAACCACATTTAAATACATATATGCAAAATTCAAACAACAATAACTCAATAAAGAATCAACTACACCTCAACACCACATTTAAGTGCATACATGCAAAACTGTGATAATGATAGTATAACTTCAATTCATCAACTAAACCTCCATCAAAAACTAATCAGGGTTACATATATGAATCCTCTAGATACTTTTTTCCTTCTATTCAAATCCATTTCATTCCAATACTAAATAATTTGTCCAGCTGCTCTATTCGAACCCATTCATTCCAACACCAAATACTTTATACTTCGACAGACCGATCCAATTGTTATTGGACCCATGTCATTTCAATACGAAATAATTTGACGAACAACAATAAACGTACAAAACGAAATTCTTTACAATAGGGCGCTACGTTTGACTTACTTGAGAGCAAGTTTTCTGTAAGCACTTTTAATCTCCTGATCAGATGAATCCCTTGTCACAGACAATACCTCATATGGGTCTCGCCTTATCGCCGGAGCCGATGACCCCTCCATTTTTGAACCAGACATTACTCCCTTCTAATCTCTATTTCTTCCTCTTAAGAAAAACCCAAATCACTATCTGATTTCAATTGTGTATCATTCAAATAGCTTTCTTGTCTGCAAATACACAGGCAGAGAAAACTTATACACACAAAACCATAAAAATCTTTCTTTTTTTTGGGAAGTCGCAAAACTATCAAAATTTGAGAGGCAATTGAGGGGAATTATGAAGATTTTTCCCGGAATTCAAAGAATTGAATCGTCTTTTCATTTCCTTGGGATTAATGCTATGTGTTCAATAAAAATTGAAAAAAATAATGGGAATAGCTATAAGAGATCTAACAGAAGGATTTTAACTTGATAAATAATATTGGAAAAGAGGGCTTTTGGGAAATTTACAGGATGCAAAAGATGTGTGTGCCTGTGTGTGAGAGGGAGAGAGAGAGAGAGAGAGAGAGAGAGAGAGAGAAAAGACGGAGTTCTGATTTGAATTGGAAAAA